TCATCACGACAAACTTTACACCACCAGACAGTCACGACTCTGCCCTTCATGACCACCTGCCACCACCTCTTAACCTTCTCCCCTTCCACACACACACCCACACACCCACACACTCACATACACACACCCACACTCTCACACATACACACACCCATACACTCACCATAACCTCACGTTTCATCATCACTTCACTATCAACATCACCCTCATTAACTCCCCCTTCCTCTTACTACCATCATCACCACCTTCATCATCTCTACTTCTTCCCCTCAGCGCCAGAAGGAAGTGACCCTACAGAACATGGTAGGTTTTCTCCAGGTATACGCCAGCCTCCTCCTGTACTAAGACCTACGAACATTAAGGTACACAGGCCTGGCGTCTTTCTCTAGTGTATCTCAATAAAACAAAATTTTTAATATATTCTAGAAACAGATTTGTGGAATTGCCCCAGGTAAGAATATGACCCAGGTAAGAATATGACCCAGGTAAGAATATGCCCCAGGTAAGAATATGACCCAGGTAAGAATATGACCCAGGTAAGAATATGACCCAGGTAAGAATATGCCCCAGTGAAAAATACTGTCTGCTAGGGTGGCGTCCATGCAACTCCATCTCACAACAGTTCTCAACAGCTGCAACATAATTGAGTCTTGAATTTCGATTTCCAGGTGGAGGGGAGTAGTGTCCAGCCAGCCAAACGTACAATAGATAATACTAACAGTGAATAAGAAGTAAATAGGGAGGTAATGGGTATTTAACAGACGTCCAGGTAACTCAATAACAACTGTCAATGGAAATAGTTCAATTATTTCATTGTATGACGTCTGTAATAGCCGATAGAATTGCTTCAAAACTTAGAAAATTTTGGTTTATTTTCACCGGTTCGTCAGTAAAGTCCGATCTAATTGGTTAAAAAGGTTGGAAGAAAAGTAATATGGGTTATTTTCATTGGCTCAATCAACTGAGGTATTTTTATTCAATCACGACTGCCAAAGTTTAATGGAGTAAGAGACAGCATTATAGTACACCCTGGGAGTACTAAAGTCAACATAAGTACAGTACATTACATTACATTACACATTGTTTACATCCGGGGCTTCACACTGATTCATCGTCTTACCAACAAATACTCGAAACACTCCTGCAAGACTCGAGGAGGACGGTGTTCCTTGAAATGTTTCCCAATCTACCAAGTATTTGTGGTCATGTTCGCTGGTGGGTTGCAGTAAGTGTAGGACTGACCAGGGCGTTGCTCTTGTTGCAGGGAAGGGAAGACGCGGCCCGGAACTGACGCTGGTAAAACGCCCCTTGGCTATTGATTGCAATTTGCTCGTATATTGCGGAGACTCTTGCTTCTGTAATACTGATGATGACGATGACGATGATGACGATGACGATGATGATGATGATGATTCACCCACCCGAAGCTTTTTGTCATGTTGAACACAGCTGGATGACGTCATTGAGTCCTCAATTGTCTTTTCAACTCAAAAAAAAAGTACTTGGTGTTTTGTTATCTACCACAACTTCTACAGGGTTATCTTGCACTACCTACGACTCCACGACTACCTCACACTAACCACGACCACGCTGACCATCCCACACTAACCACGACCACCATTACCCTCCGTGCACGACAGGAAAAACAACATTGCTCTTACAGTAACAAAGAACTCGACAACACGAAAGAGGAGATGAATTATGGGGAGGTAATGACAGTGGTCAACCTGGCGTAGTCGACTCGTACTGTGAGGGTGACGCAGGAGGGAGTCGTGACGGTGGAGGGTGGTGACGGAGGGGGGAGGTCGTGACGGGGGAGAATGGGGTGGTGGTGATAACGATAGTGAGGGAGAGGACGTAATGGTGACGATAGTGAGGGAGAGAACGTGATGGTGACAATGATGAGGGACAGGATGGTGACGGAGGGAGTGAGGACCTATCTCTCTCCCCTCACCCTCATCTCACCCACCCCTCCCCCCTTTCCTTCCACCCCCCCCCCTTTTAATCACCCCCAAAACAGGTAGCATCACACTTCCGCTTCTAATTCCGGGTTGTTTCCGCTCCGTGGACTTGATTACAGACGCCGTGCCGTAACCCCCGTCCTGTGCCGCTGCTGTCCAAAAACAAGTAGCCCAGCAGATGGCTATGCTTCCTCCTACGTGGCGTCATCTGATTGGCCAGCGTAATAAAAAAATAAAAGGTGTTTGTGCCGTGGTTGGTCAGTGCTCTCAGATACGGTGCGTTCTCATTGGTTAGTGCAATACGTGATCTGTCATTGGTGTGGCGTGAAATGTCTTGTATGTCTGTAGTTGGTCAGTGCTCTTAAAGACAAGGTGCGGTCTTATTGGTCAATTCATAAGTTTCATTATCATTGGCGTAGACGTCAATCTAACTATGCAATGTTGAATTTTGATTGGTCTAAAGGTCTCACAAGCAAGAGGTTTAAAGTAATGCCAACAAGTAATTATCCTTCATCCTCTCTCTCTCCCCCACTCCCTCACTTCTTCCGCTGTCCTTTACTTCTCTCTCTTTTCTCTTCCTATTTGTCTCTCCCTTCCTCCTTTTCAATTCCTCTCCCTTTCCCTTCATCCACGGTATTTATTACAACCCCCCTTCCCGGGTCACCCAATCAACTAAGAAAAATAAAAACCGATTCGCCACTCAGCCACACAAACCTCTCCATCCACCTTCACCAGTTCAAAGATTCGCTAATCAATTTCACTACACCAATATTTAGCCAGGAAGAATAAAAAGCGTGGCAAAAACACCCAATCCACTACGCCACCACGATCACAATTCCGATTCGACGAGCTCAAAACTTAAACGCCTCGTTACCGCGACTGGTGAACCATACAGGCGATGAACAAGAAACTCCAGCACCGGGGGGAGGACTTCCTGTGAGGGGGGAGAGGAGAAAAAAGAAAAAAAGGGAAAGAGGAAAGAGGAAGGGGATGCGGATAGAAAATGAAAAGAGAGGTACTGCCAACACTCACAAATCTACTGAAATGTGATCTAAGTGAAAGGCATTTAAGAAAACAAACAAGAATTATATTTTCTCTCCAAATAAACACCAAATAACTTAAAATATCAAATAAATATCCAAACACAGTACAAAGGAATGATACCTCCATTAAACACACACACACACACACACACACACACACACACACACACACACACACGTAAATTAACAAAAACCCACAAGTAAAAGGTTACAAAGCTAATTCACGCACCAGGTGTGTCTGTTTCTTTACCCAGTACGTGATTACCTGCTTAACGGGACAGGTAGGTCAAATTATTGCAGTCATGGGGTGGACCTGGTGGCTCGAGGCCCTATAGTGAGGTGGGTACTATACTATGGTGATAATGATGGTGGCGATTATGGTGGTAGTGATTATGGTGATGGCTATGGTAGTGGTAATGACTATGGGTCGATGGTGGTGGTGACTATGGTGGTAGTTTTGATTATAGTGGCGATTATGGTAAGAGTGGTGGTGATGATGGGTGGTGACTATGGTGACGGTGATGATGGTAAAGAGAACTAAAGTCACGATAAAGAACACACATTAAATCGTCATCACCGGGAGACCACGACACTGACATTAAACTAACCAATTTGTCTCGTTAACGACCTGCACACCAAAACACGGTACTGAGATTATACACTGAACACCTGCCTGGCTATGTGGAGACGAGAAAAACGACAACTACCACAACTGCTCTGGGACTGTGCGTGAACGACAATCAAAACATTAGCTATCCATAAGCACCCTCGGACTGTGCATTAAGGGTCTGGTTATGTGAGAACGACAGTAAAAACGACTACTCTCTCTAGCTGTGTGTGTGTGTGTCGTCCTTGAGAGAAACACGACAACTCCATCAGTGTTTCCGGCTGCGACACTGACGTAAACCTGATGGTGGTGAAGGGGAGGGGTAGTGGGGAGGGGGAAGGGAGTAGTGGTGGAGGGAAGGGGATGAGTGGGGGGAGGGGGAGGGGTAGTGGTGGAGGGGAGGGTGAGTGGGGGAGGAGGGTAGTGGTGAAGGGAGGGGGTGGTGGGGGGAGGGGTGGGGGAGAGGGGTAGTGGTGGAGGGAAGGGGTAGTGGTGGAGGAGAGGGAGGGGTGAGTGGTGGAGGAAGGAAGGGGGTAGTTAGGGGGGTGGTAGTAGGGGAGAAGGGGGAGCAAAAGACCTGCTATGAATAATAACGCTACGAGTAGAAGAAGAGGTAGAAGAGGAGGAGGAGGAGGAAAAGGAATAAAAGGTGGATGAAGGGAAGGAAGATAAAGAAAAGAGGGAGGAGGAGGAGGTGCGGGCCACGTCCTTCCGCCCGTGTATGTGTCTCGTGTTACCGTGAATAGCTCCCTCTCACGACCACCTGCGATCTCCAACGACCACCTACAACCTCCAGCAACCTTCCGCGACCACCTATAACTATCTGCGACCTCTAACGACTACTAGCGACCTCCAGATACTTTCCACAACCACCTGTAAACTATCTGTGACCTCCCGGGATCACCTGTGACCACCTGGCTGTACTATAAGGTTCATTCGTCCTGTTAATTTGGTAGTGAGGTAGTCCAGGTTCGAGGAGGAGGTTCAAGGAAGAGGTTCGAGGAGGAGGTTGAGTGGGTTCTGCACTGGTTAATTTGGGAATTAGAAATATTTACAGGAAAAAAATTTAATTGATGTGGAAAGAAGATATGAGAACAAAATAAATAAATAAAAACTGAATGAATAATAATAAGAAAAACGAAAAAAAATTTATGAACCCTGATGTAAATATAAAAGAAAATAAATAAAAGTAACAAAAACAAGAGCATTAAATATAGTAAGACAACAACAAATATAATGATAAAAATTATTAAAACAGGAAAACAAAATAAATTACAAAAATTAAAATTAATAAAAAACAAGAATTCAAGAAAATACAAAAATAAAAATTAATAAGTACCTAAAAAAAATATACCCCACCTGAGGTATAAACAATAATCATCGTCTCACCTGCGTGCCAACTCTTCCTGACCAGGGATGAGGGTGGAGGTTCCGGTCCGATCCTTGGCGACTGGACAACACCCACACCTATACTCCGACGGTCTCCAGGGCCCCGGTTCAGCACCTTCAGCATGGGGATGGGCATGGTGGTGGCGAGGGCGGCCTGGTATACTGTAGATTGGCGGGGGCGTGGGGGGGGAGGATGGGCGGGCGGGCGGGCACTCACAAACACCGCTCACTCCTCCATGTTTTTAGTTCCAAGTCGCTGTGAGTCACTTTGTGTTAGGAAATATGACACTTAATCGCTTAAGTTGATTTAACACATGTCTGGCTCTCTATGGTTCACGTGTCTGGCTCTCTATGGTTCACGTGTCTGGCTCTCTATGGTTCACGTGTCTGGCTCTCTATGGTTCACGTGTCTGGCTCTATGGTTCACGTGTCTGGCTCTCTATGGTTCACGTGTCTGGCTCTCTATGGTTCACTTCACTTGGTTTATTTTATTTTTTCCTTCAAAATTTTTAATTTCTTTCTTTCACCTCAGTCGAGTCCATCTTTATACGTGTAATTATAACTAAATAAAACACACACATAGAGATTAGCTTAATATACCGTGAATGAATCTTCACTACGACCTGACACATTAAGTCAACACAAACTTGTAGTACACAGGACACTCCAGCTCTTCCCTCTACACTCAGGGGTTACGCTACACCTCTCCCTCAGTCTGTCCCGGAGAGAACCCAAACGAATTGAAGTGTGATATAAGATATGAACCTGTCTTCTTACTTGTTCAGGTTCAAGTACACACGAGGTTTTTTCTTCACACACACCCTAGCACCCCCCCCCCCCACACACACACACACACGATTTAGAACAAATATTTGTACGAATCCTCGACATTAACCAATAAAACCCGACAAGGACGGAGGGTGGAATGCTCTTATTTACTCGGGCAGGTTCATCCAGGTTCAAACATACACGATTACACTGTCGCTGCAAAAGTTGGCACAAGAAGTAATACAAAACAAATCCGGAGTCTTATATACGAGTCTGTGTTTTACCGCCGCCAGGAACTGTGAGGTGAAGAACCTAAGGGACTCCTGGGGACCTGTGGAGGGGGGGGGGGTGATGATGGACGTGTAGGACCCTCGAGAACTCTGTCAATGAAACACTTTTAAGGACAAGGAACGTGTGAACGCGAGGGAAGGACCTTGGTGACATGTGGGAAACAGAAGACTTGTGGGGGAACAGGGCCAAGGGCGTCGGGAACCTGTAGGAGAACGAAGGACTCCTTAGTGAAGGATGGGAATGACTGAATTAAAATAAATAAAGGCCAGGGCGTGTGAGACACCTAAGAGATACAAAAACTCCCACTGGTGAGGTACGCGAAGGAGCGGGACATAGTGAATACATAAGGCGCCTGTTTAAAACCTCCAGGGACACGCGGGACCTCAGGGGGAGTGTGGGCTTCACTGTCGGTGGACAAATAAGACCCTTGGGAAAAATGGAGACGAAAAATATGGACCTGTCTGACCCTTGGGCCTGACCAGGGAACACCTGTACGAGTCGAGGATCAACGCCGTACAGCATGGTGTTTATGTCTTACTCCGTCTCTGGTATCTTGTCGTATAATGATCAGCTATCAGGAGCACACTCATCCCTGACCTGCTCGCGGCTGTGTCAGCATAGTCTGACTAGCTAATGGTTGTGTATCAATTTCCTGATTGGCTCTCGATTCTTCGCCCATTTTCTGATCTGCTATCGGCGGTTTATCGTACTCTGATCGACTATTAGACGTTCACCAATCTTCTGATAAGTTATCGCGGCCTTATTCATATTATTACTACGCCCCACGAGTTCCTGAGAACGAATCATCAGCCTAAAACAGCACTACCGTGACACAGCAGCACCAGGGCGGGAGGCAGCACCATCATCAGGCGCACAGACTCTAAGCGTGTAATTTACACATCCCGGAGACTATACTTTGACCCACCGGCAGCGTGCGTAGTGGCCCATAATATTAGACTTTAACAAACAAGATTATAGTAATAAATAAGGTATACTGCTCCCCGCCACACACCGAGTTACGTGAGGCAGAGAGAACGGCGGCATGGATGATGTAAACGGTTGTCTTCCATTTACGGTGAAGGTAAATATTCATCACTAAAACACTGCCGTGCTTTTCACGACTACACTGCCTGGGAGGCGGAGTCCTAATACTAAGACACGCACGAGTGTACTGCCTAGACGCCCACTGAGAGGTACTGAGGCCGTGAACAAGCCCACACAAACAGCTTACGGTGCGAGGCTTTCCGCTTTTCAACTTGTTACCAGCAAACACGAAAAAACACCCAAGGAGAAGTACAAATCTTTAGGAAGGAAAAAATAACTATGTTGGTTTGCGGACAACTGCCAGCGACAGTCAGAGAGTGATCAGAATATCCCCGAAGAAAGAAAATTTGCGAATCAAGTTACTGAGGAAGCCGCCGCAGGGTCGACACCAAGTTTACAAAAGCGGCGACGGAAGATGGACGAGAGAGAGCAGAGGCGCCTTAGAGACCTCATCCAAGGTCAGCCACATCCCGGCCAAGGTCACATCCCAACGAAGGTCACACCAACGTCTTAAAACAACCACCAACCCGCTGAACCGTGAACCAGCACCGGTAAACCAGTTTTTTGTTCTTTACTTAAACGTCAGAGAAATGTTTCAGCGTCCGACTGTGTATCTTGACCGCGACGCTCTGTTAACCACCCCAACAAAACAACACCTGAGGCTACTGCGTCTCATTACCTGGCCCTAACCCCCTCCAAACATCTCACTATCTTGTAAAATACATGAAAAAATTATCATTATTTATATCTCTAACACAAGTAGCCTAGACCCCTCCACCCCCACCCTAACAAGTCTCTCAAGGTACCATAGAGAGGGGCTACCTGCTTCCTTCCACCTGTCGTGCCCACCGCCATCCGTCATTAGCCCACCTGGAGCTCCTCTGACAAAGACCCCACAACTCCTGGACCAGCACCAAGCTACCTGTACCTCTAGTCTATATGGTGGTGTTATTTACTCTACCAACAATAACAGATTTTTTAGGTACAACGGTGAAATAGTACTCCACAGTATTGAATGACTGATAAAACACAAGATCATTTAGGTCACCAGCTTAAGACTATTAACTGGTATAAGCCGTTATATCTCAGGATCAGTTGGTCAGGAACGTACACCCGGGTGGTCTTGTGGTCTAGGTGTAGATCAGACCCATCAAGGATATCTGTCACTGTTTTTTTTTACTCCGCCACTGGCCAGGTTCCGACATAGAGCAGTGGTGTTGGGAGTCTTTCTCAGGTATATCTTTTGTCTCTACACCAAGGGACGAGAAGCCACCTGGTTCAATGATGCCATAATTGATAGTTTTTCCCAGGAAGGATTCACAAGCTTAGATGTTACGTGAAATATTATACATTACATACGTTCTTCACCAGCTGCTGTTGTGTATATACCACCTTCACCCTGACGTGACAGATGGTACTCTAACAAACAAACAAACAAACAAACAAACACACACACACACACACACACGAATCAACAATAACCAGGATACATTTTTTATTAGTCTCGAAATCAAGAAACATAAGACCCATTTCCTATCTGTCAGACCAACGCGATATTTCAGTTCCTCTCAGACGGAGTAGACTACCTGTGTGTAATGTACTACCTGCTCTAAACTACCGCCCTAACGTTACCTTGAAGGGTTATGTTAAGTTATGTTAGCGTCAGGGGGATTAATTTTCAGGTCACATTAGCTAGGGGGGCGAATCTTCAGGTGAAGCCCCCCCCCCCCCTCCGTCCTCAAGTACCTAATCTAACTCAACCCAACCTAACCTAACCTAACCTAACCAAACCCAAGGACCCACCAAAACACTTCAATCACCCCACCATGGAGCGTGTGAACCTTCTTGATAGGAGATAACTTATCACTTGCAAGCTTATCATACCTTTGTTGTTAATCTTTATCGGGTGCTTTAATAGCCGCGGGAGGAGACTATCAGGGGCGAGGTGAGGTAAAGTAGGAGGATGGTGGGAAGGGGGGAGGAGAGGAAGATAGATGGGAAGTGAAGGAGGAGGAGGAAGATTTGGGAAGAATAAGAATGGTAATGGCAGGTGAGACCGACACACACACACACACGAGGAAGGTAAACAAACTCGGGAGCAGCTGTGACCAAACACCTGACCTTCAGTGAACGAGGAACCAACCCACTTACTGACAGTCTCACAAAACATCTCACTCAGAAGCCACAAGTAAAATCCGTTTCTTTTAAGAGTCACCGCCGCGTCCTGAAGCACAATACGATACTCTGACACAATGAGACGGCACGGGAAAATTCTCCAAACAAGTGTATATTTGTAGATGAAATTGGAGAGATGTTCGTGATGAAATAAAAAAGAGTCATTCCGTTGTGTTCAAGAGCCACTGAGGTAAAGGCATCCAAGGTGGCAATCAGAAGACGTGAACGAAGTAGGAAAGAACTCTCGTGTCCAAGCACAAAAGACGTTCTGGAGGAGTTTTCCCAACATTACAGCGACAAAAATATAACTTGGTGACGGAGTGAGCATGGACTTCCGACCATTATGCTTCAACACGTGAATCTTATTACAAAATAATGATCCACAATCACACACACACACTAGAACGAACCGTGTCATTTTCTACACCAATCTTAGTACAGTGATACAACACTACCACTACCGAGCCTCCCCTGACGCCGCCGCACAACACGCCTACCATTACTGTACACCACACACACGCGATTCACTGAACACTACCAGTTTCTACAATAACCAGACGGAACACACTACAAGGCCTTCGTTGTAGTCACCAAGAGATAACTAAAGCATTTATCAACACACTATAACACCTCCACTATGTTCTATCAACTATTCTTGTATAACATTACAACATTCTACAATAAATCGACCACATTCACCAACAGATCGTTCACACATCTTAATAATTTAAACCCGGCAGAAGGACTCACAAGTCGTATTGTCTATCCCCTTCACACACAGATACACCCTCAACACTCTTCTCCAACACCGCTAATATACACTTACACCTCACCACACACACACACACCTACCCGGGCACGACACCTTCCCGG